GATGACAATAGTAATGCCGATACTGGGTGAAACTGGTGATGACAATAGTAATGCCCATACTGGGTGAAGCTGGTGATGACAATAGTAATGCCGATACTGGGTGAAACTGGTGATGACAATAGTAATGCCCATACTGGGTGAAGCTGGTGATGACAATAGTAATGGTGGTACTGGGTAAAGCTGGTGATGACAATAGTAATGCTGATACTGGGTGAAGCTGGTGATGACAATAGTAATGCCGATATTGGGTGAAGCTGGTGATGACAATAGTAATGCCGATACTGGGTGAAGCTGGTGATGACAATAGTAATGGTGGTACTGGGTAAAGCTGGTGATGACAATAGTAATGCTGATACTGGGTGAAGCTGGTGATGACAATAGTAATGCTGATACCTTTTAAAACTGATGGTCGGAGGGCTGTTACTCGAACGTTATTTAAACTTAGTGAAACTGTTGGTTGGCTGGTGTTAACTAGAACTCTACTGTTATCAAATGAAACTAGAGATGACCGGAACCGAACTGATGCTGAGTGCAACGAATTGTTGTTGACTGGAAGTGCGTCGGTAATAGCTGAAAACTATCATAAACTACCGTTACGTGGAATAGCTCTGATACTGAACGTTATTAGCTGAAAACAGGCGAACCCTGATTTTCACTAAAACAGCACACTCTGAACCATTTTTTAAAGTTTAAAGTTCAATAGTTATTACATCTTTTATTCATTAGTCATAAGAATGTGCATTATAACTTCGTGTGTTTGACGACACCATCTGCAGAAGAAGACTCTTGAAGCGAGGAATGTTTTTCTCCCATCAGCCAGTAAGTTGTTAATCTTCCTTTTCCCTAGATAGAAAACCGAATGGAAAAAAAATATATATATTTTAGTATTTCTTACAAAACGACTCATTATTATACCAATCTTTTCCAAATTAAAATAATTTACTTCTTTCTAATTTATTTCACAGTCAAATAAGATGTGAATTGTTTGCTATGCCTATGGAATACAATGTTTGATATGTGGTATAATAACTACTCTGTGTATCTGCTTTATTGAGGATTATTTACGATGGTGAGGATGGAAAATTTCCGTCATTTTCTATGATAAATTATATCTTTCTGCGGGTTCTCACCAAACAATGACTAAAATATGTTGCACGACAGCTGGCAACCGAAATAACATGTTTCCATTCTTAGAATTCTATAGGATTTCTATTGTGTGTGGCAACCGAAAGAACATGTTTCCATTCTTAGAATTCTATAGGATTTCTATTGTGTGTGGCAACCGAAAGAACATGTTTCCATTCTTAGAATTCTATAGGATTTCTATTGTGTGTGGCAACCGAAAGAACATGTTCCTATTCTTAGAATTCTATAGGATTTTTATTGTGTGTGGCAACCGAAAGAACATGTTTCCATTCTTAGAATTCTATAGGATTTCTATTGTGTGTGGCAACCGAAAGAACATGTTCCCATTCTTAGAATTCTATAGGATTTTTATTGTGTGTGGCAACCGAAAGAACATGTTCCCATTCTTAGAATTCTATAGGATTTTTATTGTGTGTGGCAACCGAAAGAACATGTTCCCATTCTTAGAATTCTATAGGATTTTTATTGTGTGTGGCAACCGAAAGAACATGTTCCCATTCTTAGAATTCTATAGGATTTTTATTGTGT